TGGGGGAAGACTCAGAGCCGGAGCTAGAACCGGAGGAACCCGAGCCGGAGCTGGGAGTAGAACCAGTGTTGCCAGAGGAGGCACCGCTGGGGGAGGTCTCAGAACCAGTGGATCCGGGGGTCGAGCCGGAACTGGAGCTGGGAGTAGGGCCAGTGCCAACGGCATCGGCACCGCTAGGGGAGGCTTCGGAGCCGGAGCCAGAGCTAGGGGAGCCGGAGCTGGAGCCGGAGCCCGTGCTGGGAGTGGCACCAGTGCCAGTGACAACAGCAACACCAGTCTCAGTCGCAGGAGCAGCGGTGGCAGAGCTAGATCGTCCTTGTCAGTCAAAGTGATTCACTTGGTTCCCCGTTGAGGGCACACGAGAGAGACGTACCACTTGTCGCAGTGGGTCACAGTGGAGGTGACCAGAGGAGTACTGTAGGTGTAGGCAGTGCCGGAGATGGTGACGGTGGAAGGCTTGTCCAGCAATTAGTCTCATAGGCATCCAACCAGGTCTTACCTAGTCATTTCACACATAAACACTCACCTGAGCAGCAGAGGGGTTACCCTGGCTGGCAGTACCGGGACCAGCAGCCAGAGAAGTGGCCTGAGGGCAGTAAGTGGCATACTCAGTCACAACGACGGTCTTGTACTCGGTCGCAATGGCACCGGCAGCCAGGGAGGCGACGACAGCAGCAGAAGAGACACGCATGATGAATGATTGACGGGTGGTCTATGGATTTGGTGTGTTTGTGGTTGTGTGTGTGTGGTGGGCTCGAGATTGGCGGAGAATTGATTTGCGCTGAGTTTATATTGGTGTCAAAAAGAGTGACGAATTGACGGGATTGATCGACTGTGTCGAGATAAAGAACGTAATCGGCGCGGAGACCGGAATTGTAAAGGTGAAACAGCGAGTGCGTGGGGTGAGAGAAGAGAGAGAGAGCGAGAGAAGTAAAGAAGAGAAAAGAGAGGGAAGAAGAGGTAGAAAAGAGGGCGGAGGAGGCGTAGAAAAAGGAGGCCAACGGATGATCACTCAGGGACTAGACTACAGCCGACTACCTCATTTCCTGGACTGGTGGTTGACTAGTCATTTTCTAAGGGAGATTAAATGAAATCTCATCAACGCGGGCAATCCATGAGGGTTTAGTTGCTTTACTAGCCTGTTTCACCTCCAGCGGGGGCGGATCCGTAATATTTGCCAGGGCTCCACGCATGAAGGCGTTCTTCAGCTCGTGTGTGCCTGACTAGGGGAATAACTTGAAGTGCAGACTGTGCAGTACATACACAGGTACTACTGGCAGGGGTTCGTGCAAAGAGACGGTGTGCTACTGTGTGTACTTTCATGGCAATAGTGGTGGTGGTAATAATGGTGATAGTAGTGCAGGATGCAAGGCACAAGGTAGGGCTTGGCTCGATCAGCTGGGCTCCAACTTGCTTAGTACGTATTGTACCTACTTTATCACTCACTGTAGTTAATAACTTACCAGAGGGGAAAAGAAACAAATCCAACCCTCCGCCCGAGGCTAGGCTTCGATTCGAGCTCCTCATTGCACTAGACTAGGGGTCTATTCTCATCTTTCCCCTCCCTCCCTCCCTCCCTCCCTCCCCTCCCCTCCCCAGGGTCTTACTTTCAATCAGCCTACTAGTCAGAAAGACTCTGTTTTTAGAGTCAACCAAGTATGTCGAGGAGACTCTGTGAGTGGGAGGTGGTGTTCCTGAGAAGGAGGTGTTCCGTGGAAGTCATGGATGGACCGACCCATTCAATCGGGCGACTCCTGACCATCCTTGCCCACTTCAGAATGGCTCAGCCTGTGGTGTCTCGGGAAAGAACAAGGTTCAATTAATGGAGGGAGATAGTTTAATTTCTATGGCTCTGGCTCTGGCTCTGGCTCTGGTTCCCAGTGCGAAAGTCGGATAGTATGGGGGGGAAAAAAGGAGACTTTATTATTGTCAACCAAGTCTCCGTACTGAGAAATAATCTGTGGTGAGAGGAGGGTTATTCCCGTATTTGAGTGGGATACAGTCAACCAGTCAGTCAGTCACCCACCTGGCACCCACAGCACTCTCTCTCTCCCAATCGGTCCGGATCATATCTTGTCCGAAGAGGTTTGTCATCACCCTAATCTTAAATTATGATTCAGTATGCAAGACATTGTACCGCTATGCTTCATGGTGGCACTTGCAACAACAGTTGACTTACTATGTACTCCGTACTGCGTACTGTACTGTACATTGCTTAGACCACCACTTCTTGCAACATGTTCCATTTGATACCATCACTGCCGATAAAAACACTTCCTCTATGTTTTCTTGAACCCGAAACAGCCACAACAAGAACATATTTAACTTACCAAGTTACTGAGTACCTGATCAATGAAATCGATCGAGTCTTAGTCAGACTGATACATACCTAAGATAGCTAATCAGCACGTGCGATAGATGCTCGTTTCCGCATCAGTTGGCCCCCAACAACATGACGCCCGTATCCTGTTTCAAGGTCCAAGGGAGGGAGGCTCCAACTTGATTTGAAATATCATTGATAGAAACGGCAACAACTACGCTGCATACCCAGCCATCTCGCAGCCATGCATATCAGCCAGGTATGTCTGTTCTCTGACTTCTCCAAGTGAGTTCTACATCATCTTCACCTGACTTTCGTTCGCGAGATGAAGGGACCAAGCTTTCGAGAGATGGGCTGGAACCCTTCGCTTTACGTGATCAGGAATACACGAAGACTAACTCATCGTCTATCTAGCTATACACTTACCCTATCAAGTCGATTCGTGGGACGGCCCTCTCGTCCGCTACCGTCACCCGAACAGGCTTTCTCTACGATCGCCGGTTCATGCTCCTGAAGGTCCTTGACGATGGCACCTTGAAGAACATGCATGTTCCACACTTCCCAGAAATGTCCCTTTTTCAAGCCGAGATTGTCCTCCCTAGCGAGGATGGTACGGAACCAGGACAGATTATAGTGACCTTCCGGCCAGCTGCGAGCGAGACCCTCAGTGATAATAATGGCACCAAATCAACCCGCACCCTCCACCTCCCCCTTTGTCCTGACACGCGGCAACTGGAAGAGCTGGCCATCGTGATGCATCAGAGCCCCACGAAGGGGTATAATATGGGGGCGCAATATAATGATTGGTTTAGCGAGTGGTTCGGATACCCCGTTGTGCTGGCCTACCTGGGACCACATTCGAGGCGGGTTCTCGGGAGTTTCGAGCCCTCAAAAAGTGCAGCGCATGCGGGGGTGATCAAGCAAGAAACCACAGGAAAGCCAAAAGGAAAGAAAAATGATGCGAACATGCTCACTGCGGGGACGGTGGTTGGGATCGCTGGGATGACCCTTTTGTTCAATCTACTAGTGGGCTTGAGTACGACGGGCGCACAGAAAATACTGTCGATGTCCAGCGCGGCAGCGGTGATCGTGTTGCTGATGGTTATGCTTGCTGGAAAGGCTATCTATGATCGAGTCGGTGCAAGAGGGGAAGAAGAGGAACGCATCACATTCGCGGATACGGCCCCGTATCTGCTAGTGTCGGCGACATCGGTGGACAACGTGTCGGAGCGGCTGGGAGGGGGCCTGGACATGGATGTCACCAAGTTCCGCCCAAACATTGTTGTGGCTGGCGCAGAAGAGGCCTTTGAGGAAGACTTCTGGGCGGAGATGGTCATTGGGTCTGGCGAGGAAGGAAAAGCGCGGCTGCTGCTGACAGCCAACTGCGTTCGGTGTCAGAGTCTGAATGTCGACTATGCGACGGGCGCGATGGCACAGGGGGAGATGGGCAATGTGTTGAAGAAATTGATGAAAGACCGTAGGGTCGACAAAGGAGCGAAATTTAGCCCAGTCTTCGGTCGGTATGTCTTCCTCGACGGTGAGTCGGAGGGTCAGACAGTGCAGGTGGGTGACGAGGTGGTCGTCACTCGACGCATGGATGAACGAATGGTGTACGGTGAGTACTGACTGCAGAGTACAATGACTTGTGATACGAACTCGACGGTGACTGGCATGACTGACTGAATGACTTGCATAGACTGGCCCGGGTTGACCAATTGAGATCAAGGGGGTTGGGCACGAGATACGAGATGGAGTATACTGTAAGGGAGGTGGATGTGGGACAAAGACCCTAGTCAACAAGTCAACAACAATGCACCGCGGAAGATCTTGTTCCGGTTCCTGGGATGGGCAGTCCCATGGTTGAAGCGGCCAACTGGCTTGGATACTGCTGGTACTGGTAGGTTCCCTCATCAATGACATTGTTTATTACAAAAATATACAGCCCATCCGAAGTTCCGAACGCGAACCTGACAAACTACTCGTACTATTTATACTTCGCGATACCTACTGAGTACTAGGTAGTACTTTAATAGGCAAGGTAAGGTATTCCGTAGTGTTTGCCCAATTGGGCTCATTACGTCAGGTACCTTTAGGTAGGCAGTCCAGTGAAGGTAGTTCGTATGGCAAATACGCACGGTTCCACTTTTTCTTTTGCACCGCCACCTGCACGGCACCCTGCATGAGACCAATCAGATGACGATTTATCTGCCCTACAAAATCCGCTCGTGTGTGGTTGCAGATCAGCTGTGCTGCTTTTTCGGATCGCGTGGAACGAAAACTGCTTAATAAGCAGTTTAATCATATAACTTCCAAGCAATCCGATTACCCACACAAACAGAAAATTTTATTCTATATTATTTTTTTCAGTATATTTATATATTATATTTTTTATTACTAATTATTTTCTTCTTCTTCCCCACATCCGCAATTATAGCTTATAACTGAGCGAAAATATAAGTATAACTGCTTATTAAAATCTTATTTATTACTTATTATTATTTATATAATAAAAAAATAATTCTAAAGTGATTTTTTTAATAAAAAACTAATAAATTTTAAATAAAATAGTTTTAATATATATAATATTTATATAAAGTCGAAGCCGGGCACCTTAAATTATCTAAATTTAATACTATAAGTTTCTAATTACTTTTTAATTATTTAATAAGTACTTACTAACTACTTAAAATATAGATAATAAGATTTAGATTTATTACAGTAAGATCTATTATTATATAAATAAATACAGTAAATATAAAATAAGTACTTTTCAATTACTTATATAATATTATATTAACTATTTTTCAACTATTTTAAAAATAGTTTTTTAATATAAATAATCTACATTCGCATGTACGGTCTTATAATAGTATAATTTTAAATAAAAATAATAAAAAAGACCGGATCAGTCAGGGCGAAATAGATTCAGCTGGTAGTAAATATTTATTAATTATTTAATAAATATTTTAGAATTATTTATTAATTATTTAATCTAATATAAAAGTCTTTTTAATAATAAAAAGTCTAAATAGTTTTATAATATTTTTAATAATTTTAAAATTATTAATTTTACTAGTATTTCTGCTATCAGCTCTGCTGCTGGCTCTCTAATTAAAAAGCAGAAAATTAATTATATTTTTAATATTTTTAAATTTCTGCTGAATAAGACCGGTAAAGTAAGTATATTTAATTATTTAAAAAATATTTAAAAAATACTTACTAACTATTTAATTTTATATTACTAACATACGTAATATTATTTTTTATTTTAAAAGCTTAATATCTTATAAAAATTATAATAATAAAAAGTCCTGCTGTTATAATATTTAAAAATATATTAATTTTATTTTTTTTAATTATAGAAATCTGTATCCGATTGCAGCTGGTAATACTACTAAAAAAAGTCGACAGTAATACTAATATAATTTAATTATTTTAAAAATATTTAGTAAGTACTTTAAAATTATTTAAATCTATAGAGGAAATTAAATTTAAAATATATATCTAGCTAATATAAAAATATTTCAGCAATTAAAAACTACTTTTTAAATATTTAAAAAAATAAATTTAAACTATATAAAAATTAAAAAAATATAGATTTTATAAACTAATATCAGAGTACTGATATATATATTAAGTTAGAATATACAATAAATAAAAAGTATTAAAAAAAATAAAATAAATAGTTTTTAAACAGTTAGAAAGTACTTAGAACTATTAAAAATCTAATATATATTAAATTAATACTTTTAAAGTATTTTTTTATATAAAATTTATAAAGTACTCTGTAGTATAGAAGCTATAAAAATATATTAAAAATACTTATTAAATACTTTAAAACTGCTTAGTAATTATTTAAATTAAATTTTTATAGACGGCGGCGGCGTTTAAAAAAATTAAATTTATATTTTTTATTTTATAAAATCTTTTTACGTATCTTTTCTTTTTATTTTTTAATCTTAGTTTTTTATTTATTAAGTTTAGTTTGAAGCTTTTAAATCTCAAGCTTCTAATATTTTTATTTTAAATTTAAAAGATTAGTTGAAGCAGTCTGACGCAGACTTCTTCGAAAAAAAAAATTAATCTAAATAATTTATAAATATTTAAAAATTATTTAAAAAAATTAAAAATATTATATTAAATCTTATCTATCTAAAAGAGTATCTGAAAAAGCGATTATAATATTAATCTTCTAAAAGTAGAAGCTTAAAGATTAAAAAAATTAAATTAATCAGATTTCTAATTTAATAATATAAAATAGGCTTTTTTATATCTTTCTAAAAGATAATTAATTTATAAATATTTTTTAAGTAGTTTATAAATATTTACTACTATTTAAACTTATTTAATATATATAGTTGGCCTCAACAGTAGAAGTACAATATAAATAATAAAAATTAAAATTAAAATAACTATTATACTAATTAATATTATTCCGATCCAGCTTTATAAAATTAAAATATAGATTATTATTTTAGATTTTTTTTAAATAGTTTTTAAGTATTTAAAAACTGTCTAAAAAGTAGTTGAAAAATACTTACTTTTTTATTGTTTTTATTAAAATTAGATATTTTTTTAATATATAAAACTTTTAATAAGATTGCTCAACTGCGTTAATATAATATTATAATTAATTATAAAAAATTAAAGAAATTTTAAAACAGACTTTAATTAAATCTACTTTAATAACTGTATTTTTTTTTAATTAGTCTAGTTAACGACAGAGTCGTTTTTATATTTTATAAATAGTTAGTAAGTAATTTGCAACTGCTTAGAAAATAATTTAATTAAATATTTAGAAAATATTTAATTATTTTATTAAACTCTTTTTCAGTATTACAGTTTAAAAGACCCAGCATTTAACTATAAAAACTTTTAGAAAAAGAATTCTTATTTCTTATTCTAATAATTTTTAATATTATATACTAAAAATAAATATAGTAAAAAATAATAAAATATTATAACTGCTATATATAATCTTAATACTGCGGGTCAATCTCTAAAAGATAATATTTAAATTCTAAATATTTAATAAATATTTATTAAATATTTAATTAGTAATTAATAAGATTCTTACTGTTATACTATTTAGTATTTATATTAAAAATCACTTTATAAAATCTACTGTTATAAATAGAATAAAAAAATATAGACTTTTCAGTAATCTTTTTTAAAAAAGAAAAGACTTATTTAAAAAGCAGATAGTATCCATCAGCAGTATTAAAAATAGTAAAAATATAAAAAAATATAATAACTTTATTAAAATATTTAATAAATAATCTTAAAGTACTTAGTAAGTACTTATTTTTATTCTAATTTTTAAGAAATATTATAAAAAAAATTTTATTTATATTATTTAATCTAAGCTGTTTATATAATATATTAATTTTAAATAATTCTAAATAAGCAAGTAGTTAAAGCTGTTCTTTATAAATATAAAAAATTATAATTCTGTCTATATTATAATATTAATTTTAAATATATAATTAAATATTAAGATTTAATAAATAAGCAGTCGGTAACTGCTTGGCAAGTACTTATAAAATACTTATATAAATAAAAAAATTAATATTTAATAAAAAGATTAGTTTATTAATATTCTGTCTATTTAGATTTATTAAAAGATATTATTTTTAAATAATAAAACTAATTTTATTTTTATTATAAAAGCTTAAATATAATTTAATAAGTATAAATAAATTATACTGGCGGTAAAAATCTTTAAACTGCGGATTTTAAAGAAACTGAACTATATAAATATTTAATAAATAATCTAAAACTAATTAAAAAGTATTTAAAAAATATTTATTTATTATTATATTTAGATTACAGATCTGCTGAACAAGCTGTTTTATTTTTTAAAAAATTCTTTCTAATATTTTTATTAGCAGCGGTAGAGAATGTTTATAAATATTATAAAAAATAAAAATAAAATAAAAATATAAATTTAAATTCTTAGAAATCAAAGTAGAAAAGTCTATATTATAAATAGTATAAATTAAACACCCTAAATTTTAAAAATATTATTTTTTTATAAATAATTAATAAATACTTTAAAACTGCTTAGAAACTACTTACTATAGTATTTCTACTGTAATAATAGTAATTTAAATATATTATAATTTTTTATAAATAGTATAATATTATTATTAAAAAATTTTTTAAAAAAAATAAAATTAAGAATTATATAATTTTAAATTATAGTTTTTTAATACTTTTTTAAAAAGTCTTCAGTCTTATAAATACAGACTATATAAAATATATAATTTTTATATAAATTTTAAAGTAGTTAGTAAATACTTTTAAAGTAGTTTATAAATAATTAAAAATAATAAGTACCGGTTAGATAGAACGCTTAAATATAAATCTGTAAATTAAAAATTTTTTTATATAAGACTTCTAATTTTAAAAAAATCTATATTTTATTTTATAGTAGCTAGAAAGTAGTTAGTAAGTATTTTAAAAATATTTAATAAATATTTTAATATTATTTATCTATAAATATTCTATTTAGCAGTATCCGTTTCTAAAATCTTTATATTTTAGTATATATTTTAAAAACACTTCTAAAAGTCTTTATTAATAAAAATATAATAATAGAATAGAAGAGACTGGCTTAAAAACTTATATCGAAGAATATTAGAATATTTTTAAAATTATTTTTTAATCTAATATTAAAAAAAAATAAAAAGACTGCTTGTTTTAAACCGCTTATTTAATATTTATTATACTATATTTACTAAGAAATTAGCAAGTAGTTCGGAAGTGGTTAATAAATAATTATATACTAATATTATTAATTAAAATACTAACTTTAATATTTAAAAGTCTATATAATAAAACTATATATATATATCTATATAGTACAGTTTTTAAATACTTAGAAAGATTATTAATATATTCTATAAACTGAGTAGTTAAAAATAATATCTTTATTTAAATTAGAAAGATTAATAATAATAATTTTTAAATATAAATTAATTTTTAAATATTTAATAATTATTTAAAAAATTATCTAGATTGAGTATTCCTCTTCCGTAGAACTAAATTTAATAACTTTATAAAAATCTATATCTAGAAAGTACTTGGTAGGTACTTATAAAGTACTTAATAAATATTTAAAATAAAATATATAATAAATTTAGAGAAATATAAGAGGAAGTTGAATTTTAATAATAAAAAACAGTAATTTATAGAATTATATAGAACGTTTCTGCTTATATAAAGAGCTTGGCATTACGTGCTGCGGGAACGTTCCACATGTACACAAAAAAAAGTTCATATAAACTGTGTTCACCGCTCGTGTCTTCTCTGTGATTCCCAACTGATTATCTCAGCGGGGCGTGGCGCAGCAGCCGGCATCAGCCGTTCATGCCATCACCGTTCGTTCCGGAGTAATCATTTTGTAGTCATTCTCCATTCTTCACTCCATTCCTCACTTCTTGCCGCCAGAGGCTGAGACAGAGAAAAAAAAAAACACTATCTGTCACTCTCCCACCATTATCTTCCATTCAACCTTCGGTCAGCACTTGTCTACTTTCAGTTCCGTGCCATCTCACCAGGATCCTCAGGAGCACTACTTTTCTCCTCTACTGCCTACAACCACAACCATTTCCGCCTGATCGTGCGTATCTCAACCCCGCGGGGTCATGGATCACTCCGTCAATCTCCGCCGCAAGGATACTACCAAGGGCCCTCCCTTGAGGATCCTCTCGCTAGGTAGGGCATTTATCTCCGGCTCTTACTTTCCATACTAACTTCTATGCTCTCAACTCTCAGATGGTGGCGGCGTCCGGGGCTATTCCATGCTCATTATCCTCCAAGAACTCATGTACCGTGTCTACGTTGAATGCGAAGGAAAGGCACCTCGTCGTGAGGAGATTCCCAAACCATGCGACCATTTTGATCTGATCGTTGGTACCGGAACCGGCGGTCTCATTGCCCTCATGTTGGGCCGTCTCCGCCTTGACCTCGAAACCTGCAAGGAAGTCTATGTGCGCATGACCCGCAGGGTCTTCGAAACCGACAAAACCATTGCCGGCATCCCATTTCGCTCCACCTTGTTCAAGGCTTCCAGACTCGAAGAGGCCATTCGCGAATGCGTCCGTGAACATACCGTTTTCGAGGCTGAGGGGAACGACATGACCCCCGGCAGCGCGCGAAGTTCACTCGCCGGTGCCCCCTATAGCCCCAATGCGATCGCCATTCCGCAGCGCTCGGGTAGTCGCGCTAGTTTCAGCACCACCAGTACGGCACATTCGTCCGGTCACAACAGTCATCGCAATTCTACATTTGTGAACGGCTTGCGGTGGGGAAACCCGGATGCGTTATTGTATGACAATCGGGAATATCGAACCAAAACGTATGGCCTCCTGCGCTTTCCACTATCATATGGACTCTACTGACTTCTTCAGCGCGGTCACCGCTCTCTACAAAGGTACTACCAGAAATGGGTCGTCTGTCATGCTCCGTTCATACGATTCCCGCAGAGAGCCCCCACCCGAGTTCAATTGTACAATCTGGCAGGCCGGTCGGGCCACCTCGGCCACCGGAATGGCTTTCAAGCCGATCCAGATCGGCCAACACGTGTTCATTGATGAAGGGGCCGGCACCTATAATCCGGCGCCCCAGGTATTGGACGAAGCGACGGTGAACGAGTGGCCGGGCCGTGAAGTAGGTGTGTTCGTCAGCGTCGGCACCGGCAAGCGACCGCCCGGCACGAACAACCGCCAACACGAGTGGTGGGAGGATTTCTTCGGAGATGCGCTGGGCTCGTTCGCGGAGGCACGTCGGCGACTGATCGCCAAAATTGAGGGCTGTGAAGACATTCATATGGCCATGCTGCGCGACCATCTTTCGAAGCGCAACGTCAGCCAGGATAACTATTACCGATTGAATGTTGAGGTCGGGGTAGGCGAGTTCGGCATGAACGAGTGGAATCGCCTGGCGGACATCAGCACCAATACAAGGCGCTATCTGACTCGACCAGAGGTAAAGCGACAGATCCTCGATGCAGGGGTCAAATTTGCCAAAATCAACCGACAGCATCGACGACTGGCCGACCATGCGGCGGCGACTGGAGGGAATGAGGCAGGCGAGGAGACCAGTTCCATCCTGGGCAGTCCCGTTTTGTCGGTGCAGCCTCAGTTGCCCCATCCGATGGCGGTGGAATTGCCTGCCGAATTGCCAGGCGATTTTGTTTTACGACCGATGACGGCGACCGATGATACACTCTCCGCGCATCCGACGCCGCACGATGCAGTCCTAGGGTCCCCAGCGCGTGGCTCAGGCAGTGATCTGGCCAGTCCAAGTCCTCATGGATCTTCGCGGCCTAGTTTTGAGCTGCCGTCGCATCATAACGGGGAAGAAATGCCTCCACCCGTGCCCCCGAAAACCCCCATCCCTTATCCTGACCATCCCAGTGAACTTGGGGGAATCCCCATGCCGATGCCGACAGTGATGCCTCCGATGACGACAAATAGTGGCCACGGTTATTCCGGGGCGGGCGGGAAGACCCGACCGCCATATCCTATGGATGAACCCCCCGTGGTGAACAAGCAGCGGAAACCGAGTTATCATGTTCGATGAGGGAGATGATTCTATGTAATGATCTGCCTAATACTTTGTGGAATGGAGAAAGGGGGGCTGCTGACGTTATGGTGTCAGGATACCCGAAGAAGTCCCGTCGAAAGCATAGTGGAGGAAAGGAGGCCCGAGGAGTTTGACTGAGGACTTAACTTGATGATATTGAATCGAAGGATACCCTAATGAGTGAATGAATTTCCTATTATATTTCCACATCTGTCCACGTCTGTTGAGAGGTCATGTTGTACTGTAATCAAGGTATCGAGTAAGTTAAGTATGTACTGTACGTAAATGACAGACAGACCCGCTGCACGTGCAGCTCAACCTTTCGTTGTGCTTCCCCAGCCTCTCTCTTATTATTATTTTCCTATATCTATTTCCTGACGGTCCATCTTAACACTGACCACAGATTTGACTCACAGATATCTATCAACATTACTGCAACTTGACTTATTGACTTACTACATCGCTCCTGCTCTTTTGCGTAGAGACAGCCCCAGTTTTTGGCCAGTAGATTAAGAATGTTTATGTTATCAACCTGACACATTCCCACCCACCGGCTCACTCCACATTCCCGTGTTGTCGCAACTCCGCCACCGTCTTTCCCACGGTTCTTTCCCACTCTCTTTAGCGCCGTCTAATTATATTCGGTCCATCATTTCTTTTTCGCCCCGACTTCCTTCCTGTTCCCAACCTCAGCCTGAGACCATACACAGGAAAGGCACAGGATCAATTGGAAGAGAAAAGAAAAAGGGGTTGTCTGCTGACTAGGTACCACCATTTCAGTCATTCACTGCTGGCAGTGTGTCTTCATCAAATCACCTCTCTCTCTCCAACTCCCATCTCCCATCTCCATGTGGTTCTCTCCGCTCTGAACCACTTTCTTTCCTAATCCCTTATCTTTCTCCCGGCCTCTTCTCGATCATCATGGCTGCCACGACAACCGCCGCAGCGATGACAGCGCTCTACAACTACACCACAACAGCCGCCCTCTTAGCCGCACGAGAAACAACTACTTCCGCCGCCGCCTCTTCCTCCTCTTCCACGCGACCCGCCTCCTACAAAGTCGTCGGTATCTGCCTCGCCGTCGCTTCCGGCTTCTTCATCGGCACCTCTTTCGTCCTCAAGAAGATCGGCCTCCTCCGCGCCAATGTCAAGTACAACGAAGAGGCCGGCGAGGGGTACGGCTACCTCAAGAACCTCTACTGGTGGGGGGGGATGACCCTCATGATCGTCGGCGAGATCTGCAATTTCGTAGCCTATGCGTTCGTTGATGCGATCCTGGTAACCCCGCTGGGCGCGCTCACCGTCGTCGTGTGTACCATCCTCTCCGCCATCTTCCTCAAGGAACGCCTCAGCTTCGTCGGCAAGGTCGGCTGTTTCTGCTGCATTATTGGCTCCGTGGTGATCCCGCTCAATGCGCCCGAGCAGTCGTCCGTCAGCGATATACAGGAGATGAAACAATATGTGATCACCCCCGGGTTTCTGTCCTATGCAGGGGTGATCATCGTCGGGTGTACTTTCGTCGCACTATATCTGGGGCCGCGATATGGGAAGAAGTCCATGTTCGTGTATCTTAGTATCTGCTCGCTGATTGGGGGGCTGAGCGTCGTTGCGACACAGGGGCTGGGCTCGGCCATTCTGGCGCAGATCAATGGGGAGTCTCAGTTCAAGGAATGGTTCTTGTATGTTCTGCTGGTTTTTGTGGTAGCAACACTTTTGACAGAAATCATTTATCTAAATGTGTGTGCTCTCCCTTCCGCCCACCTGCCCCGAGATGAATGTCTGCTGACCGAATGCAGAAAGCACTGAACATCTTCAACGCTGCCCTCGTTACTCCGACCTACTACGTTTTCTTCACCAGCGCAACCATCGTCACCTCCGCCGTTTTGTTCCAGGGCTTCCACGGCTCTGTCAAAGACATCGTTACCGTCGTCCTCGGGTTTCTACAGATCTGCGCAGGCGTGGTCTTGCTGCAGCTATCCAAATCTGCCAAAGATGTCCCCGATGCTGCCGTTTTCAAGGGCGATTTGGACCAGGTCCGCGAGGTTGCGGCGCAGGAAGAACACGAATTCGAGCCTAAGGCCGACTCCATCCGCGGCGCCGCTGCTATCATCCGCCGCATCTCTACCCCACGCCGGACCATGGAGGCCGAAGAAGCCCGCCGCTATTATCACGAGCGCCAGGAGGACCTACGCACTCCGCTGGCCGAGAATGAAGTCGTTGAGTGGGATGGACTGCGCCGGCGCAAGACTGTTCTCGGCGAGGGCCCCACCATGGCAGCTCGCACACGCACCCCGTCCGTCCGACACCATCCACTTCCACCGCTGGGTATGGCCCGCGTGCCGGAGGAGCCGAAATGTGAGGACGAAGAGGACGAAGAACCGCCCCGACCGACTACGACACAGAGCAACAATTCATTCCTAGATGACCTCCGCTCGCGCGCGAACAGTATCTTTCATCCGACGTGGCAACCACTACACAAAGAGATGTTACATCTCTCGGACGCGGATCCCGTGTCGCTGAAGGCTATGGAATCAAACCGCAAATACCCCGATACTCACTATGCCGGCCGAGACGGCCGTTCCATTAAGTCAGCGGTCGACACTGAGAATGACAATCACACCCTTCCTCCTCCGAGTCCCCCTCTGCACGGAGGCGCTGAACGGCAATTCTCATTCACCAGTGTCCTCGGGCGGATGAAAGCCAGTAGCCCCGAAACTGTCGCGGCTCGTCCTGTTTCACGGCAGAGCGGCCTCCATCACCACTATCACCGCTCGTCGGGCGCAACGGAGGAAGAACGCCTTGGCCTGGTGCGAGGGGATTCGAGATCGGATGACCTGGACGAGAAGGCCCTGGGTAGTGCTTATGATGACGACGACATCTGGAACGACGGACTGGACCCCTTGCCATCGGGTCAATCCCACCGAGCCGACTCTCTTGAATCGCATCGCATGTTCTCCAGCGAATCACTGTATCCGGCACGACTGCGCTTGAACCCGCTGCCCCCTCTGCCCGATGAAGAACCGCTGGCTGATCCATACGCGCCAATCGGAATGGCGGGGTTACGACGCGAGTCCGATAGTAGCGCGGGAACATTCGTCTCGTCCCCGCCGACCCGCGGGAGCGGGATAGGAGGTAGCAGCGAGGGCTGGCGGAGACATCAATCAGGACGGAGCAGTGGCGGAGGGAGTGGAGGTCTTCAAGGGAAGAAGGGGGCATTTATCTAAGAACTGAGCCAAATGGTATGATATATGATATAAATGATGACTGATGAACTCGATAATGTATATATGAGGTTTTGGATATATTAATGTATGTATGTGTGTGTATGTGTTTGATCTTTGTTGAGGTTAACGTATTATCGTGAAAAGCTTGCGCAAATGTATGATGGCCTGATGAGAATGGGGCGCAGATTACATGGGGTATCTTTCAAAGAAGTCAAGTGGTGAATGGAGTCGTAGTCGATGTCGATGTCAGTATTGAAGATGTCTTGCAGGAGCAATTGTGTATGTATGCATCATACGCCCTCTGCAGATGTTGGTGTCACTGCCGCAGATGACGAGAAGCAGAACCCAAGCACACTACTCTGCCTCCCTCCTAACTGAACCGCATACCTACCTTCTGCGAGCCGCTTCCCAGCCTTGATACTATCCAAAGCCCTATTTTTTTGGTCTCAATCAGCACGGGCATTTCCTACTTACCTAACTTGCTGCTAACACCATTCCTAACTCGGAACTCCCCGTTGAAAAACAGAGTGGCATATGCGAGAGGCGTTAAGAGAGAAAGGGGGGGGGGAGCACGCTTACCACTGGACCCCTACAATTTTCACTCCCTTCCATCCTCCGCGCTGGAGCTCTTTCTGGATCTTGGTAGCGGCGAGTCCACCTCCCGCGCCGCCGTTGCCCGGTCCCGCATTGGGGACTCCAATGATGACATGCGTGATCTTCCGAGAGAGGGAAAGGCTTAGGGTAGCTCCTTGCGAGACTAGGAGGCGCTTGAGAGCGTGGTCGGAGATGAGAGGGGTTGTTTGGCCGTTGATGTGGATGGTGAGGGAGCTGAAGACCTTTTTGTTGTTCATGGGTTCGATATGCAGGGATGGCGGTATAGTTTCGCATGAGGTAGATGGGGTCGTTGCAGATTTCATTGAGGGGGGGGTTGATGTTGTTGATTCCTTGATCGTGGTCGTGGTTGTATTCTTCGAGGTGATGGAAGATGTAAGTGTAGGTGTGGGACAAGACTTGAAGGAAGTGGTTGTGAGGGGTGGCGCAGATACACCTCCTTTTGTTGCTGTTGTCGTTACTGCTGCTGCCGCCGGTGCTATCTCTGTAGCCCAGTCAGAGCTATACCCCGTCTTCACCTTCGCTTTCTTCGTCCCAATCGCCCCGGATTCACCACCACCACGGCCATCACTCACATCCCCAGGGTATCCTCGTTTGCGAACCTGCCCACCAAACATATTTCGTATATCCATCTGACCCGTAGATGTCGATGAGGAGGAAGCCCGAACCCCCAATTGGACATGTCTCGACCCGTTATGCGCGGAGCGCAATTGCGAGTGCTGCTGAGCAGCAAACTGCGACCCCGCGCCGATGTTGTTGGGGTAGTTGCTGCTGCCGTTGTTGTTGTTGTTCCCAGAGCAAACAGAATCGGAATGAGCAGCAGCAGCAGCAAACACCCACTCTCCCCTCCCCGCCTCCTCCTGCTCCTCCCCAATATTATCTCCCATCCCCTCCACTGCAGCAGCAGATGTCATGGCCGTTGAAGAGGTGCAACCCCCAACCCTCGACCCAAACTGCCGCGCCAGTTTCTCCTGCCGGGTGATCCGCCATTCGCACCCGCGGGCGCCGCCGCCATCGGCAACCTGATGACCCGTCGAGGCGGAGTTGAAGACGTCGAAGAAGCGGGCTCGAGGTTGTGGATTCGGATTGAATGTGGATCCCTTGGAGAGTGGTGGTGGTGGCATTGTCTCTTGTCGTCTTCTTTTTTTTTTTTTTTTGGAGGCCGCACCTCCCTCCCTTGCAAGTTGCGCTTTTTGGTTTTTGCTACTTCCCGAGAGAAGGCGCAGATTGGCTAGTTTGGGGGTTTCCTTCTCTGCAGAATCAAGTACGCGTGGGTATTTTCTGTCGCTGTAAGTTGAGGGGGGCTGGAGTCTTTTCTCGTTTAGACTTTGGTAGTTTGTCGATTGGATGTCGGGGGTTTCAAAATGAAAAAGAATGTTTTTGTTTACGATCCATGGATGCAGTTGGTTGCGTGGGCGGAGAGGGAGGGATGGAGTCATGTGATGATTGGAAGGGTGGCTAATCGATAAGCTGGCCAGGTCTTTATCGTTGACTTATTGTACAATGGGAATGATGGGAATCAACTTTCTGCCTACTTGTACCGAATGGGTACGAAATGATTCACTCATCTCTTCATAGTATGCACATCCTTAGCATGATTCTGAGTGGACCAAAAAAAAAGAAACACAAAAAAATACAAAAAAAATACAACCTTTCTAATCAGATGTATGCAGTTGTGATTCTATATATCACCGACCGTGAGCAGCACCGATGCAATCATTTTCCAGATATCAATAAAGTTACAGTACATCGCATCGCAGCGCGACACCACCTCACTCCCTGAGTCTACCTCCAATCAGAATGCGTGCTAAGATGGCAATTGACAAAGAGGGATATCATCTTCGCCATTATCTCAACACTCCAATCAATCCTGCTTCACGGCGCACAACGCACGCATTCCAGAGCGGCGGCGGCGGCGGCGGCAGCAGCAGCAGCAGAAAGACGGTGAAGCGAGGCGAATGCGTGGCCGGGTGGGCGGCCAGTGGTGTAATCAAGGGATGGAAGGATGAATGGCTGATGGATGGTCGACTTCAATCACCATTGATCAGCTGGACAAGCTATAATTAGGGGCAGATCGTCCCCTCCAAAGAGGGGCCGTAGATCGGCCGCTATGGAAGTGACATACATATGTATGTCACCTTGGAATGTGCACACACTACTACACTACGTGCTGTAGCTCAATCCTCGACAGTTGTGCAAAGGGTAACAAACAGAGAGATCAAAAGAATCCCAGCGGGGGAATACAGAAACGACATCCCCAAAAACATTTCCGGGTATGCTAGCGACTTGTCCTCGCAAAACGGCCAACCCAACCCTGCGTCCGCATATGCAACACGGGTCGTTGCAGCTGAAACCGACCCTGGCACAGACGCGCGAGGAGCGGCAAGGATGGCATAGGAGAGAAGCAGTCAGTCAGCCAGTCAATCAATAGAGGTCTTCAATTGAAGGCAATGCAACAGCCAGCCATGTTCTCCGGCTGGCGGCATCAACGGTAGACGGGCGCAAGGCAAGAGATGAAAGACGGAAGGGAAAAGAAAGAGAAAAAAGAAAAGAAAAGGAAAAAAGAGAGAGAGGGAAATAAGACAAAAAGAAAAAAATCAAGAATAAGAGGGAAAAATACTAGATGGAGAGAGAGAAAGATTTGGTAGATGTCCTTGCCAGCACATACGTGGTTGCCACTGCTGCCAATCAATGCATGATCCAACTTGGCCAATCCGGAGAGTCTTGATTGTCCCCTAATATAGGTAGCTCAGATACTGTTCTTGAATGATTAACGGGGGGAAGAAGAGGAGAAGGGGTCCGTGTCGCGGGGACATGAATCCTCAGCCCGGTGGCCAACCATCGCCACCATGTCTGTGTTGCACCTCTCAGTGTTTCTGTGACACCCTCTTTTTGGGGTATGGGATGATGCCATCGTGACATGCCGTACATTATTCTGGATCGAAAGGTCGCAATTGGCCCAGGTAAGGCCCCCTGTGTATTGAATCCAGATCGCTCAGAATTACCAGAGTGGAAAGTAAGCATGTCTTGTTCTGTAGAATTATTCTTGGGATCTGGGAAAAAGGCCATAGAAAAAAAGAAAGAAGGGAAGGAAGAAAGCCAGTGAGTAAGAAGATGCGAGCAGGATCCCACATCCGCAATTCCCTCGTCCTCTACTAATCTAACGCAAGGCAGTCCACCTGCGCAGTCGATCGTGCACGGGTAACTCGCCGGAACATGCAATGTAAGGTTAATTACTGCCTGCAGCCCGCCCTCCACCACCGAAAAGCGACTTCGGATCATCAGATGATGAAGGATTTACCCGCCTCGCCCCAAAAAAAACAGTAGAAACATATCTTAAGGCCATCGGCCATCTTTGATTGGCTCATTGGTTATGGCCATGGCGGCCCTCGTAGCCGGACACGGATGGACGAAGAAAGCGACTCGGTCTGAGCTGGGTTGTTATGGTCGGTCGATGGGATCGAGGACTTCTGGGCGGCTTCGACAAGCGCCGAACAAATACGGAAAGGGCAGGAGGAATACTCAGTAAGTAGAGCCAATCGCAAAGATAGGCCGCAGTATCATTGCAAAAACCGACTAACATTCCGGTCATTGAATCCCTGCGCAAAATCAGGTATTGTAAGCGCCGGCCGGTGGACGAATGGAGTAAAATTAGTCCCTGCTCGGAGCTGATGTCCTTGGGGGCCATTCCCTAACCCTTCTCGACTCGATGATCCGTAAGGTATTCGTGTCTTCTGAGATCGGAGAAGTACAGTACTTGAAGTTGATTATGAGATTGATGATAACGAGAATGATGTGGTGGTGGTGGTGGTGGTGCAACTTGTCCGGTCGGAACAAAGAATTCAGATGGAATAGGTTCCTTGATCGGTTATTCCCGCATCGCCTATCAGTAAGTTAATGCATAGGTCGCACTGCAGGCGGAGATTTGTCTTTGCCCTCCCCCCAGGGGTCTTCAGACAGTGAAGGGGGGTTATTAGTTGCTAGTTCGTTATTGATGGCCTCGGCTCGAACCCTCTCAGCCCCGGATGGGCGGGTGGAAGATGAAGGAGGGAGGAAGGAGAAGGTCGGAGCTCCCGGTCAGTTCCCCCACCCGTGCTAGTCATCGTCGGAGCTGCACTGTTGTGCATCCGGCTGGAAGTCTGTAGGGTACGGAGAAAATTGTCAGACAGCTGAAGAATCCTTAAACTAGGCGCGAGGCAACCTTGAAGGGTGGTTCGTTGCTTGCGCTTGCATGGCAGCTGCAGGTACAGCCGAGGATTTGACAGGTAAAATCATGGCTAGCCCAACGCAACCTCCCTAGAAGTTAGTTAGTACTGAGTATAGTCAGTGTAGTCCTTACATACGCCAGTGACCAGTCCGACTGAATCGATCCAAAGCACCATCCTAGGAAGGAGATTAATCCTGAAAGTAAAAGAATCCTTGGGCTATCGTACTAGAGTGTACGTACTCATAGGAGGACAGCATCGAATGAATTGAATTCGGTCCCCACATCTGCACCCGGAGTAATTCCTCACCTTCGAGGAAAGCGAGACACAGCCTGACCGGTCATCACGAATCAGCCCCAAGCCTTTTCGTCCTGAATGGGGCATCGAATGAGCGAGACGGCGCGCGATCCCCGGCCGTGATTGATCTGATTTGATCCCCGGGCATTTACGCAGTTCGTCCTAGCGTGGCAGGGATAGGCCCGGATGCTGAAGGGGCCGGCGGTTGACTCCGTTGAGCCCGTTCACTTTTTAGTGAGCCGCTAGTCTGTTAGTCTTCTTTTCTGTCAGTGTGTCACTGTCAGTGAGTGTCAATGGCGGATTGTCAATTGCAACCATCTGGCTGATTGGAATTTCCAATGAAGTGGGGGGAGGGGGAAGTGGAAGGGTTAGAGGGGAAACTGAAAGACAGGGAGGCCTCGATGAATTAATGGTGGGGACCGGAAGAGATCATTGGTGTACACTGGATGGAAATCTTTTGCCCACCAAGCTAAATGGACTGGACTAAATGAACTAAAAAAGCCTCCAAGCTTGATCAGGCGCAGACTTAGCGCAGAGCTATCAATGATCCCTGGGCTGGACTGCTGATGGTGGGAAGATAGAATAATAGTCTGTAGTAATGATAATGATGCTGATTGATGCTGCTGTTGCTACTGCCTGCTAATGACAGGCGGCCAGGATGCCAACTGGGAGAAAACTTGAGCTCAAACTGATTTGCTTTGGCCCTAACTTACCTAACGGCACTATTGTATGCCTGCCTATGGTTAAATCCTCCCTGTAACTCCGAACGGATCCCTTGAACTGAGAATGAGTGTTGTTCTGCACCCCCTATTCATTTCTTTTTTGTTTCCCTCTCTTTCTCTCTCTCAATTTTTCTTATTCCGCTCTCTTGCTACTATGCCCGGGTGCCTTCAGAACGTAAATGTGGGCCGATGGCAACTTTTTATGACCGCCTTATGTTTACCTACTACCGCTTCCTCTATAGGCATGATCTGAAGCTCTTCCACGAATGCCAATCATGAGTTGTGATAGAACCGGCAGATCACAAATTATCTAATCCAGTTCCACTTTTACGTTCTCAAGGCACCTTACCGAGTAAGTTGTTGGGGAAGGTTGATTCCCGATTGGGACTATATTATTATCTTTTATCTATATCTTGTCCTACGCAGGCCAATCCGAATCATGAGAGTATAAAGGCGACTATACCTGCAAATGAGTACCTAGGTATTGACCTGGACCCCGCAGGTAGGTAAGTTGGTAGGTAAGTATGTATGTATGTATGTACGACGGCTGCGGGAGTCGGCCCGTCCGTAGCGGACTCCCCTTTCCTTTCCTCTTGGTTCCTTCTCGACCTTTTATTGTCCCAGTATTTGATATCTAACTCCGTACTTATACCTGACACGCAATAATAACCGGGGTCCGATGGTCTTTCATGGACATCTTGATTATCAGCTTTCTCTCGAACCTAGTCTCTAGGAAAACTTGACAGGGTCGTAGCCAAGTTGTGAGAGCTTTGGTAGGGTAGTACTGAGTAAGTAGGTACAATACAGACTGCAGTTAACATCCACAGGCCGATCATAATTTTAGCCCTGGACTTATCTCCACAGGATCATCCTATTCATCCCACACATCGTCCATAGTTC